GCTGGTCTCGAATTCCTGAGCTCAAGTGATCTGCCTGCCATGGGCTTCCAAAATGCTGGGAGTATAGGCGTAAGCCACTGTGCCTGGCCAAGGAATCTGTATTTTTAAAATATCCTCTCCTATGATTCTGATTACCAAGTTTGAAAACTTTTGTTGCCACCCACTTATCTACCTCTATATAATAGGACTGTATTTAAACCACTCTACACATTTTTATCCTTTATTTTGACATTCCAAAGATGGCCATGTTTTAAAATGGTACCTGCTATTTGAATGTGCTAAGTCACCCTGAATAGCTTACCTAAATCCCTCTGGTACTCGCTCTAAGCTTCTGCCCTCTCCCTACGCCTCTTCCCTAGCTTCTTGAGGATCGTAAATCCTAGCCCTTGGGTGCCAGCCCTTTGTGCTGCCTTCTCGAGAATCCTAGATGAGTATTCCTGGGGGCTTAGCCCTCACACTCCAGCTCTGCTTATTTCCAGCCCTACTTGTGTCCTAGGAATATCCTTGTAAATTTTGTTGGGAAAAATGAATATACAGTCTTATTTGCTAATTAAAAATTGCAAAGTTTTGGTTTTTTTTTTTTTTTTTTTTGTTTTTTTTTTTTTTGAGATGGAGTTTCACTCTTGTTGCCCAGGCTGGAGTGTAATGGCATGATCTCAGCTCACTGTAGCCTCCACCTCCTGGGTTCAAGTGATTCTCCTGCCTCAGCCTCCCAAGTAGCTGGGGTTATAGGCGCCTGCCACCACACCTGGCCCCTTTTTTGTATTTTTAGTATAGATGAGGTTTCAGTATGTTGGCCAGGCTGGTCTTGAACTCTTGACCTCAGGTGATCCACCTCCCTTGACCTCCCAAAGTGCTAGGATTCCAGGCGTGAGCCACCATGCCTGGCCAAAATTGCAAAGTTTTTAATACATAAGTAGTATTCGTCATGGGCTTTGTTGTTTAGAACATTTCTTCCTAAGAGCTATTCTTCAGTGCTCTGATTGCTGCCATGCCCCATTCTGGTCAGTGGTTTGTGGCCCTGGCTTGACATTGAAACCACCTGGAGGAACTGACTCACACAAGATGAGTACAATCTGTATCTATGAGGTATGAGCCTGAACATTTGTATTTTTTAAAAACTTCCTACACGATTCTGAAGTCCATCCAAGGTTGAGAACCGCTGGATGAGTCTCATTACTGTCATGCTTCTCTCCCTGCATAGAGTCCTATTAGAAAAAGGAATGCTTCAGCCATCTGAAGTGAATATAGTCTGGCAAAGTCTTTGGGGGTAGATAAAGACAAAGTGTAGGCCTGCATTTTTTTCCCGGGAGACTTTCCTTGTATTCCTGTCTCTGTGCTTTAAACCTTCGCACATGCTATTTCCATATTAGGTCAAGGTCCTGTGTTATATACTGTCCTAGTGCTGTGAAAGTTTTCTTCAGACATTTCTTCTGTGCCATGATATATATGTTCCTAAATACCTCATTCTGCAGCGTCATGTGCTCAAAATGAGACCGCTTACAGAGAAAACAAGGTGGGGGCCAACCACTCAAAACTATTCTTGAGAAAACAAAAAGTTGGCACCAGTTTAGCAAAACAGCAAGCTCTAATGGTAGGTATGAAAAATACACAAAGAAGAAGAGTGAAATGCTGGCAACATTTTAATTAGAGCAGAGGTGGCAGGTGCTGATATAACACAGAAGGATGTGGAGCTCCAAACCAGGGGGCTGCAGTGAGGTTGGGTTCAAGAGGCAGGGTAACCTGGCATGAACTGAAAGCAGCATAAAGCTGGTAGGGGCTCCTGGTGGAAGCGCTTGCCTTCAGGTCTTGTTAAATACAAATGAAAAGCTTCTTCCTGCTGCTATACCAGCAGAGCTGAGAGCTCTTTCCATTCCTGATAAAGGCTGTAATTCACTGGCTGTACTGAGTGTTCTTGTCAGGGAAAAAACCCTATGAACCAATATGACTTTTGTGTTATGCCGACATTTTCCCATTTACTAACTACTTAATTGATTTGCCTTCTGGAAGGAATTAATTTTCTTTCCAGAAACATATGTTATAGCAAAAAATTAAAAAAGACTATATCACTATGTTACTATCTGTAATTCTAGAGAAATTTGAGGCTTTACTTGATTAAAGTCCCTCTGTAAACTCTGTAAGGTCAGGGATGGTGACTGCTCTGACTTGTCATCCTAGTAGGCATTTGTTCAATGAGTGAATGACTTAGGTAAAACTCTAAAGAAAATGGTGGGAGTAATATGAACATTAAATATGCTTTTTAAAAATGGAACAATGAAAGTGACATAACCTTAAAGTTTAGGAAGTAGAAAAAGAAATTACTCCAAGTCTTCTATTACAGTCACACTGAAATACTATTACTATTTTTGCCTGTCCTTTTATTAGATCTCTGTTGCTGCATTACAAGTTACCCTAAAATTTAGTGGCTTAAAACAGTGAGGATCATCTTAGTTTCTGATTGCCTGGAATTTGGAAGTGGTTTAGCTAGGTGGTTCTTGCTCAGGGTCTCTCATGAGGTTACAGTCAAGATGTCAGCTAGGGCTTCTGTCATCCCAAGACTTGACAGTGGGGCTGGAAGATCCCCCGCAAGACAGCTCACTAATGCAGCTGGCAAGCTGATACTGGCTGTTGGCAGTGAGCACCTCACTTCCTAGCACTGTAGAACTCTCCATGGGCCTGCATGAGGGTTTCATGCTTGAATATGAAAATTTAAGCTAGGTACATACAAGTAAAATAACTCAACAGGTACAGTAAACAGTATGGGAAATGACTGATTTTTCTTTCATGATTTAATCTTCTGCAATTCTTTGACAATTACCATGATTTAATTATAGGTAAGGAATCTTTAAAACCATTTCTTTATGATACCTTAACAGCAAATGTCTATTAATTTGAAAATACTTTTTTTTTCATGAAATCTTCTAATCAAATGCCACCCATTTAAGGAGTTAGATGTTTGTTTAAAAGGGTCATTTTCAAAGACAGAACTATTTTCTTTATGCAAACCTCCTAATGAAATTCAGTAGTAAATCTGATTTTATTTGCATTGATCCACCTTTAAGTGTTTAGTGTTTTTTTTTCTTTTTCTTTTTCTTTTTTTTTGTTTAGTGTTTAACACATAAGCTGTTTAGCCACCTTAACTTCTAATCCAAAGTAAGAGTGCAACCAGTAACTAAATTGCATTCTGGATAGATCGAAGAGTAATACAGTTGTGAGAAGCTTGTGGATTTGTCAACTAAGTTGAATTTGATGTATAGATGTTAGGTCATTACAACATTTAAATTTCCATGGACTGTTTGCTGACAATCTATAATTTTAGGAAATCCCATGTAGCTTTTATATCTATTACTTTTTTCCTCTATGCTTATACAGATATGGTGACATCTGTTTTTGTTATATTGTTAAGTAAAACTGACCCCTTTGATCAAACACATGAGAAACTCAAAGGCAATATTTTTTTGTATGATCAGCTTTAGTTTTTACTTTAGAACTAAGATTTTTGTGTAATAAGAAAGAATAAAAGAAGTAAGATTAGTGGGGAAAGAAAGAAAATATTAAGTGATCTCTTTCACTGATGACTGGCAGGATTTAAATGTTTTTAAGTTTCTCAAGCTCTTTGTAAGTGCAATACGCATCTAAAATCTTTATAATTATAATATATAATTTGTAATTATAATTAGCTTGTAACTCTTTACTTTTCACCAATATGTAAACAGAGTTTTAAAACATTCCCAAACACATTAATCATCCTAATGGATCTGAGACATACCATGCTTGATTCTTTTTGTTCCTTATTCTCTTGTTGCCTGTTTTTATAACTTATTTTGCGTTCTTTTGAATGTCTTTCTGAATTTTTTATATTCTCTTATTGATTTGGAAATAGAGACTATATCAAGTACTTAAAGCACCCAGACAAATACTCTAAGTAGGGAAGCCTCTAATATCTTGTATCTCATAATGTGGACTTTCAAATTCTATTTTGTTATCTTGATATTGTGTAAGATTTGTTTTTATTTAGATTTTTGTGCTGTAATTGTGCACATTGCCATGTGCAGGCTTGTAAATGATTTACTGGAGTAGTGATCCACATAACCGAAAGTAGTGTGGGCCAGAATATGTAGCTTGAACATTTGCTATAATAAAATGATCACAAAGTAGGACTCAGGCTTATTAGAAATAGATCATTACTTATTCTTTTGTTGAACAAACATGCTTTCTTTTTCCATAAAAGAGATTAAATGAAGCCATTGTGACATTGAGTTTATAGAACCATATTTTCTATGGCCCAGTACCTTTCTGAAAATGTTTGTAAAATAGATGTTTGATGTTATGTAACTTGAACAAAACAAGGTGCTTAGTTAAATGATAGTAAGTTTTCTTGTTACTCTGCTGAAATAACATTCATATATATTTGTGGGGGTAATCTCGGAGTCACCAGTCTGAATTATTCTTATTGTATAATGGTTTCTGTATAATACATAGTCTTATTTGTTATTGTGATAGACTCATTTGAAATGATGATTACATTTTCATTACCTGGCCTCTCTTAAAATTATTTCTGTCTCCTCTCCCTCTAGTAGAGACCCTTTAACAGAATTGACTCCTGGTCTCTGCTTTGTTTTCCTTCTGTTCATACTTCATATTATATCTTCATGCTATATATTTAAAAATTGACGGCCGGGTGCGGTGGCTCAAGCCTGTAATCCCAGCACTTTGGGAGGCCGAGGCGGGTGGATCACGAGGTCAAGAGATCGAGACCATCCTGGTCAATATGGTGAAACCCCGTCTCTACTAAAAAAAATACAAAAAATTAGCTGGGCATGGTGGTGCGTGCCTGTAATCCCAGCGACTCAGGAGGCTGAGGCAGGAGAATTGCCTGAACCCAGGAGGCGGAGGTTGCGGTGAGCTGAGATCGCGCCATTGCACTCCAGCCTGGGTAACATGAGTGAAACTCCGTCTCAAAAAAAAAAAAATAAATAAATAAAAATAAAAAATAAAAATTGCCTTCCTAAAACACAGAGCTGGTGAGGCCGCTCTTCTGCAGTAAACCTGCCACTGCCTGCTCCCAATTCCTAGAGGCAGGATTGATATTTTGCTGGTTTGCACCAGTTAGGTTGAACTGGCTGTTTACAATCGTATCTGTTCTGATTGGCTGGGGCTCATGTGCTGTGGGGTGAATTTCAGATTACTTAGCAGTGTTTTGGGGGGATTAGAAGATTTCTGAATGAATATTTGGCTGCCTTAATTTCCCACCATTCTGTAACTATTTCAGATAACCCTACTATTTGGGCACGTTCCATAATGATGCTTCGACTTTCTGCTTCTGTTTTGGACATTTTCCGCTTTTTCCTTAATATGTTTATCCTCTAGTCTAATTAATGATTTTAAGATTATTCCTGAAGATTTAATTTAGGAGAAAATTCCTTGTTGAAACCTTTCCTGATTACTCACCACCGAGTACTTTACTCGGTTACCTCCTCATATGCTTTCCTGATACCTGCCATACTTAAAATATCACATTTATTACTTTGCCCTATAATTATTGCTTGCGAATCTACCACCCCTTCTGGACTATGGGCCGATCACAATGCTTACCACAGGTAGGCACTAAAGAAATATTTAAGTGTATGGAAAGAAGTTAGATTTTTGAGTCAGGAAAACCTGAGTTCATATTCCAGGTCAGCTCTTATACTTACTAGAAGTATGAGAGTGAACAAATTAATTTTGCCTAGTCTGAGTTAACTACTAATTTGTATATGCAATGATAATAGATGTGAGCTGAATATTAAGCAAAATAATATGTACCACGTTTACTATATTACCTAGGATTTAACTGTCCAATAAACATTCCATTCTCCTAGTTAAATTTGGTTTAAAAGTATTTTGCATTTCCTTTTTTCTTTATAACAAGAAAGCAGCTTTTATCTGAAAACATCTCTATTCTAGTGGTCTGTGATAAAACTGGATGATACATTCTACTGGATGATACACATTTCTACTAGCATTTTCTGGTGTGAGAGCTTTTTAAAAAGAGGGCTTCTTTACTCTTCAAAAGAAGCCCAGTAACTAGTACAATGCCAGGCACAAAATATTTGTGAATTAAGTGTTTGTGGTAAGGAGCTGTGTTGGGAAAGACAGACCATTTTCCCTTCCTTGTTCTGGGGAGAAGGTTGCTTCATTCCTGCTGGAGCAACAGATGTGCCAAAATCAAGGGAAGAGAGGACTAAAGTGGATGGGGCCTCCCTCCATAACTTTCCTCGAGGACAGTCTAAGAGGGCAGCCTCTGTGAAGGGGGCTGCAAGGACTAACACAGTTTAGGACATCAAATAAATGGGTGAGGAAATGAAAGGTGTTTCTCTTTAAAGACGTAAAGTAGAAATATTAGGAATTACCCTCTGAACTAATTCGTCATGTCATAGGGATTAAGGCAAAATGAGTTGTCTTTTTACCAAAAACAATGAAGTCTCTTATAAATTGCTTCTCTAGATAATTATTTTGTGTCAGGGAAAAGGGCATCAAGTTGTATACGGGTGGTTTTCATATTTGAAAAAAGCTTCTTTTGGAAGTAATCTATAGTAACACTTTTTATATTAGGCCATTCTCAAGCAACTTTCTACTTTAAGAAGTAATTTGAGAAATGTAGGATCTCTTTTGGTTAACCCCAATTATGGCTAAAACCAAGTAGTTCAGAACACAAGGTCTTCACCTTAATGCTCACCTTAATTACTGTGGAAAGCACCAGGTTCTTTTCTTGTGTTATCTCTTTTAAATGTCATAACAGTATTATTGTCACAGGATCCTTGGGGTGTGGTTTTTCCGGCCAGAAACCTCTGTGGCCAGTGGTGCCTTTGCTGGAGTTTTGCTCAGGCCCTCTGGGCTCATTCCACCCACGTGGCCTGGCAGGCTGCTCTCGGCTTGCCCTACAGTCCTGGATCCTATGCCTGCCAAGGGTGAGCCAGGCAGGGGTGAGTGGCAAGGGGCATGTGAAGTGAGGGGGGGGGAGCGGGTCTTGCCACTGTGGCTGGTGGCGGCAGGGTAGGCAGCTCCAGGTGCCAGCTCTGTGTAAGGCTGCAGCTGGACCAGGCATCTTGTAAGTGGCTTCCACTTTGGGCACTGGGGAATGCAGTGGCACCTGGAAGCTTGGAGATTCCAGGAACCACAGAGCCCCAAAGAGGGTGTCACAACCCTGGCTTGGGGAGCCTCTAGGTCTGGGATCCCTGAAGGGCTGCAGCTCTTCTCTCTTTCTCGTCGCCTGCAATGTGGCAAGCCCTGCTTTTGTTACAGCTCTTTTAGTCCTGCCATTCAGCAGGTCCCGAGTTCTTGTGTCCATGAAGAATGAGGTATGTGGATAACTGGTGGGTGAGCAAGGTTGAGAGGAGCTTCACTGAGTAACAGAACAGCTCTCAGGAGACCCGAAGTGGGTGGCTCCTTTCTGCAGACAGGTCTCCCAATGAGTGTCCAGCTGTCGGCAGAGAGCATCTCTGCAGTAGGTAGCTCCTTCCCACAGGCAGGTGGTCCTGGCAAGTGTCCAGCTCTCAGCGGAGGAAACCCACAGTGGGTAGCTCCTTTCCATAGGCAGGTCATTCCCCACAAATCGAGCAGACCCTTGGTGGGTAGCTCCTTCCTGCAGCTGGTAGTCCCCACATCTGTGTGAGTCTGGCTGAGTCCTGGGGTTTTTTTGTGGGTTTAGAAGGGAGGAAGTATGTGCTGTTTGGTCCATGGACAGCCATGGGTGGGCCTAGAAAAAGCACTATAAGTTCTCACTCCCATCCCACAGACTCCACCCAGAACTGGCAGCCCAGCCCCCAGGCTTTAGGACATTCACCACGTCAAGGTGGGGTTTTACCAGGGATCCTCCGCTTTCCGTCCAAGAACCTGTCTGCCTCCCACCATCAACACGCCATCCACAGCGCCCAGGCTGTTTTTGCAGAGGGGCGCCTGCAGGGTTGCACGGAGCTGCCCTCAGCCCTACCTCAGCCTCCTTCCTGCACTTGTTGGTGCCCAAAGTCCAGAGGGGGCTGAGGCAGAGTAGGGAAGGCTGGCATGTCACCTGCTGCCCCGAGCACACACACACCTGGCCAGACGGCACCCAGGCTTGGCCATAACTTTGCTATGAAATCAGAGTGGACACTGGGAATGGGGAAAGACAAGAGAGTGGGAGCAGGCCCTTCTGAGCCTGTGGGCGTGGGGGGGGCTTCCTGGGCCCCCAAGAGCTCAGGGACGTCCAGGTCCTGAGCTGCAGCTGGGCAGCTGCAGCTGTACCTGGGAGTGCAGGCTTCTGCCCTGCCAGCTTGGTAGGGGGCAGGGCTCCCACCTGCTCCTGGTCCTTGCTGGCTCTGTGGAGCCTGCAACCCCAGCTGTGCCTCCCTTACTGCAGCCGGTGTCTTTGCAGTGTCTGCTCTAGATGGGCTGCACCTGCCATCATTTTGAAATATGTATTATCAGTCCCATTTTACTATGAAGAAATGACTTTTGGAAATTTGAATGAGGATCTGACTTCAGTGTTCAAAATCTGATTCTTTAAAAAGCTACACTAAAAAGTCAGTACTGATCAAGATGTTTTATAATTGCATTTATGGACTTAAATGGCTAAAATGACATCATAGATGCTTTCAAAGATTGTTTGGAAATGATACTTTCATTGGAATTAAAAAGGAAAAGGATCATACTATTAAGAGAACATTGAGAATTTTTGCGGATAGAATCGTGAGAAATTAGGAGGATCAGATCTGATAGAATATAGTGACTGGAAAGGCTTCAAAGCCTTCACCGATGTGTTTCAAAAGTGAAAGTAGATCTAGAACTTGTTCTACTTGGTGTGAGCGGACTTTGAAACCCTTGGAAAGTTGGTTTTCTAAGTCTGTCCAAGAATGTGAAGCAGTGTCAGTTAACAGATCTGATGTATATGTAATAGATAACTATTTCATCAGAATTGAAAATTTGATCTGATATATAGCCACCTTCATCAATTAACTTCTGTATCACTGCTGGAAATTCTTTTTGCAGTTTTCATAGCTGGGCTCTCTGTTTCACCCTACAACTGAAGGCTTTGGAAATTATAGAGATTTTTGAAGCTGCTAAACCAGCTATTACTAGCACAAAAGGAGCAAATTCTGTAGGATTTAGCGATTTCCATTTAAGATATTTCTATATAAATAGTGCTTTCTCTTTCATTCTGAGAAAGATTATTCCTTTTTTTTTTTTTTTTTTGGCTATTTGCTTTTCAGTACATATATTCAACAGCTTTCTTTTTCTTCTGTTTCGTTAGGGGTTGCTCTTTCTGACTTTGCCGCACTTGCAATTGCTCTAGCAAATAGGAGTTTCTCTTATTTCCATATATTGTGGAGGCCCGCAACATGAATTTTATTTCTGTTGCTTGGGAGATATCATATGTTCTCACCATGTATTCTCTCATTTCTGGCTTCTCCTCAATATTTAAAAGCTTTTCTTTTATGCATGCTGCTTGATGTTTTTGAACCAGTGCAATTAGACATATTTGAGATGTCGAATGAGCGTTTTTATATAGAAAAGTTATCCTTTGCAAAATAGCAAAACATAATTCTGCAGAACAACAAATGTGCTGAACTGAGGTAGGTGTTACATGTTTGAAACGTGTGCGTGTTTGCATTTTGCTAGGTGCAGTTTCCTGCGTTCACCTGATGTTTCTCACAGACAAAATCACACATAAGCACATGTGAAATGTACATTATGTTCAAATTGTTCTCTTACATATAAGTTGTGTTGGAACAAACTGGTGTTTTCCAAACAAGGTTTATAACAGAACAGATTGTACTTGATAGGCTCTGTTAATTTAAAAAATCCTGATCTGTAGAAGTTTTCTATTATTTCCTGCATTAACCTTTTGGTATTTTGTTCTAGTTTCTGAGATATTTCTTCAACTTTACTTCTATTTATTCTAGCACATTTTCACTTATGCTCTCATATCAATTTTTCAGTTCCCAAGAGCTCTTTCTGGTGTTCTTTCAGAATGTTGTTGTCCTCCTCCCCCTCCTCCTATTTTGTCCGTGTAATCTTTCAGGATTTTACAAGTTTCTTTAATTCCCTACACTGTCTCTGTTTCCTCCAGGTTCCTTTTAACTAGGTGTTGATTATACTAGAGAATTGTTAGCCACTGCTCAGTTATTTTGTTGAGTAAGATTGAGTCTGTCTGATACAGACTCTTACATTTGCACCTTGCCCTTTCTGAGTATTGAGTCCTTCACTACATATCAGTGGTCTCTGGACTTTATTTATGGCTTGCTTAGGTTTCAACTTGATGAATTGCCTTCTTTTTTCCAGCTTTGAAAAACTATTGAAATGGACATCTCTCTTATATTTACTGTATCCTTATGTGTTTAAAGCTGGATTCTCATCTCTTTAGTGGTGTGTAGGTAGAAATACAGATAAACGAGTGTGTTCAGTCCATGATATTTAGTCAGAGAAGTAGCTTTAAATGGCTCTGTAATAAATTCCCTATGAGATTAATTCTCATGGCTTCTTGAAACTATCCAAAGCAAGACTCAGAAGAGAGCTATTATTGCATATCTAGTGCTTAAATTTTGTAAGCAAATGATTCTACAGAAGGACCTGACTCATTTGTACCTCCAGACAGGAAAAGTTTTTATTGAAAAGTGAAAAGCATCCCAAAATAATCCTTGAAGAAAATAGTTTAGAATATAAAGTGACATGTAATACATATTGCTATTAAGTGCAGAATAGTGTTTCTAGAATGTGCTGTGTACCATGATGATGGTCTCAGTAAGCATGCTTCTTTAAAGAAAAGAGGAGTCTTTCAGAATACCAAGATAGAAAAAGTGAGAAAGATCTCTTGTGTCATATATTGGTTGCTGCGCGGTCCTATGATGCATCATGCTGTCTTGACTTTGTTGGGACTCTTGAATACAGCATTTCCTCTTGCTGTTCTCTCTGCTGGAAAAATTCTTCCATGACTAATCCCATTATCTCTTTCAGGTCTTTACTTAAAACTTAGATTCTCAGGGAGTCATTCCTTGAAGGCTAGCTAAAATTTTATCCTCTCTGATCTTTTATATCGCTGCTTCTATTGTTTAATTTGTTTCCTGGGTACTTGTACTTATCTCACGTACTATATATATATACTTATTTGTCTTGTTTACTTTTTCAACCCCACTTGAATGTAAGTTTCAGGAAGACAGAGACTGTTGTCCATTTTCTTCATACTGAATCCCCAGTGCCTAGAACAGTGCCTGACACAAAGTGAATGTTCAATATATATTTGTTGAATTTTCATTACTTTTAAAAAACAATTTCCAGTGATAACCAGTCCTACAAGGGACTGAAAATTACTAAAACATGATGGCATCTGTTATGTTAGAAGTGCAGAAATATTTTTTGCTTTTCATAGTGGTGATGAATATGACCTTACCAAGTCATGTAACTCCTTCATGCCTTGGTTTCCTCCTCTATATAAATGGAAATAATAATGGTACCTAGATGAGGTGGTTATTGAAAGCGTTAAATGAGCTAATATACATAACATGTAGAATAGGGATTGACGTAAGTCTAATCAAATATTTTCTGTTATTACAATAATTATTGTTGGATACTTTCTACATGGGACACATTTGTAGATAAAATGGAAAAACAAAACAAAACTGCCCTTTTCTAGTGTGTTTTAGTGGAGGAAGGAAGCCAATAAGCATATTGACAAAGTAAATGGGAATGATTACAGGCTAGAGAAGAACTGCCCCTAGTATGTGGGTAGAGGATGAGGAGGAGCATAAAGGTTTCAGTGGTGTTGATAAGGTTCTTAGTTTAGTGGTGGGTTTGTGGGTGTTTGTTCTATTATTCTTCCTAACTTACATATATGTTGTTACATATGTTTACGTAATTTAGATACTTCATTTAAAAAAATACTTTCTGTTCCAAGTACACTTCAGTGTTTAAACAGGTTAATCACTAATTTAATTTAGTTATCCTGATTAGGTAAGAACTTGGCTTTAAAGAAAATCTCTTCGTGTAACGTAACCGGTCTTCCCCTGCTGTCCCCTCTCCCAGTCCAATTTATTAAAGACAAAGTTGTTTTATAATTAACTCTATTTTTACTCACAATATGTATTTGAAGTATTCAGTTTTATGTATTTGTGCAGAATTATCCTAACTTGGGTTAAGTAATAGGTGATGGAACTTATGCTTTGTCGCTAACACCATTTTAATGACCTTTGCAAAACATCTTGTTTTATTCAACATAACGCAACTGAATTTTTAAATATATGTAGTATTTAATTTGGGTCATGGAAAAAGGAATTCATTCCCTCTACACCACTCTAAATTAATCATTTATGTTTTAATTTCACCTTCAAACCAATGCGAAATCATTAAGTAGAAGTGAAGCATCTTCAGTTAAGAGCATTTTTTTATTAGAAACACAAATATGTTAAATCTGTATATTTTATACAGATACAGATTTTATAAATCTGCATATTTTAGGTATAAATTGTCTGAAGGTGTCTAGCCATGATGACTAGAAATAACATTTACTATTTTAAGGATAGGTGTCCGTTTTGAATTGCATATTTCTGGAGTGTCTAGAAATAGCCCACTCTTTGGTTCTGCTAGATTATTGAGTCATGCATGCCCTGTAGCAAACCAACTGACTTGAGTTTGGATCTTGGCTCTGCCATTTGTTAAACATTACGTCTCCTTGGGTAAGTTGTCTGACCACTCTGAGATTTATATGTTAATGCAAATAAGCTTTATTGCATCAAGTAATAAATACATACAAAGATTTAAACAGTTTTAGTCATTTTCTTCTAGTTTTGATCAGCTTACAGTAAACGCAGAACTGAAATCTACTGATAGTCTTAATTTGAAAATTTTGGGGGTTCCTTGTTAGGTTTGGTAGATTGTACTGCTGTATTTATAACTCGTACATTAAAAAAATTGACTTCAGTACACTAATAGTCATGCATATGTTTATGCAAAAAAGAAGTTAGATTAAGCAGAATCTACACTGCTGGGCAAATGAGGATTGGCTACTAACTACAGTGAGCTGTCGGTATGCATTAAAACAAAATCCTTAAGGTTGTATTAACAAAGAACAATGTGGGTCTCGTAAACATATTCAGAAGAGAAAGTTAAAGGGAGACACTGGTGTCTTGGAGGCAAACTACAGTTTGCTAAGATAATTTTACCTGCCTCTTTTAAATCAATGCTTAAAAAAAAAACCCGAGTAGTTACTAACTACTGAAAATGTACATTCTAATTAACTGCAAAATCTTTTTTTCAATCTGTGAGACTGTAGGTTCAGAGCCTGGTGAAACATGAGAGGAAAAACCAACTTGTTAGCATTTTGAAAACAAGAGTTTCATTGGAACAGGGGAAGTGAGCTGTAACTTCTCATCTTATAAAAAGACGGAAAACCTTTAAAGCCAAAAGCACCAAGGATATGGCATTCTGTTTGGTTTCAGCCAAGCACTTACGTTACCAACCTTCTAGAGTGAATAATGCCTCGAATTAGTGTCTTCATTGTGTTCTTACTCCACATAGGCAGGTTTGATCTCTCCCCAACTCTCACCGGGGTCCCTGGCTGTTCCCAGCTCCGGTATGGCCTATGGGTGGTGGCCCCTGATCACTCAACAGCCGTCAGTACTGTGGGGGCATCACCAGGCTGTTGGAAGGGATGTAGACGCTCCTAGAGTGCAGTCAGGTTGCTTTGTAAGACATACTTATCCCTCCCCATGAGTAAGTAGCCCAGCCAGGCCATGAGGACGGTGGTGATGTGGGGCCCTGTGACGGGGCAAAGGCCCTGGGCTCCCTGTGGTCAGGCTCTGGGGAAACCGGCAAATGTGACCGCCCTCACCCTAGTGCCCACTGTAGGGTGTCACCCCACACATCTCGGAGAGGGCAGGCACAGAGGAGGCTGCAAACTTCAGGTAGACTTTTTAACTTTAAAATGAAGAAAAGAATGGTACCTACTGCCTCAGAGTAGTAAGGATTCAATGGGTATGAGTGTACAGTTTTGTTTTTCTAGTAGTTGCCACCAACTCTGCCCTCCTTTTTGCTATACAGCGGGGTTGCTTTACAACATCTCACTTTAGTTCCACGACTTACTTCTGGATACTTAACCTTATTTGGGTTCTTAAGACTTAGTTCTGTTATTTGGTAGCTTTATATCACGTTTTGTTCAACATTCTCCTCTTCTGTCAAGTCAGACTAAGCTTGTATCTCTAGCTGTTTGGAATTGACATGGGAGGACCTGGTCTGTTTCTGTCTATATCTGTCCCCTGCTTGCTTTCCTGACTCAACAAGTCCTTGATGTGGAGCTGGGAGCCTCCGCACGAGTGGGAAAGGACAGAGATGTCCTTGATAGGCAGCCTCTCCTTGGTCAGCCATGGCGGATGTCGTATTTGTGATTGGTGTGATAGACATGGGCATGTGGTGGCCCCTCAGGTAAGGGCCTGTGCGCCCTGTAGCTCACTGGGGTCTCCTCAGCCTCTTCCACAATACAGCCTAATCTCACAGTTGACCCTCAGCTGGTGGCTTCATGCTGCATTCTTCTGGATCCCCTCCAGAGCCATTTGCTTACAGTCTCAGTTCACTGGGGAGAATATGCATGTCGTGTTTGTTTTTATTTCTCCTAATAACTGCTATTAATTGTGCTCAATTGACTAACCCTTTCACTCTGGTAGCAGGCTTCCTTACTAGCATGTCAACCCATTTCCATCACTTTCCAGTTAATTTTGGTCATTTAAACATTTGCTTACCATTTTTTAAACACTCAGTTCTCTGCATTTTGAAATTTGACTCTCATGTCAGAATCAAAGCTCTCTTCTCTGCCCACTCTTTCCCTGAAAAGGAAAAAAAAAGAACCCAGTCTGGTTATGGCACCTTGGAGTGGAGGCTGTTTTTGGCTCTCACATGCATCCCTCCCTCTTGGCACTAGCACTGTGCTATAGCACGGAGGTGGGAAGGAGGAACCAAGGGACAGAGTCTCTGTGTCGACTGCTGCAGTGTCCCGCTTCTGTCATGGTTGCAGCTGCCGTCTGTCTACCTCTGTCTAATGGACTGTCTGTTGGCTCATTCTGTGAGGCTGCCATCCCACATGGGCTTTCTCAAAGGACACATTTGCTGGCTCTTTGGAGAACCCGTAGGGTGCTTGGCGTTGGAGAGCCGATCTGATCTCTTCATTTCCCCGCTCCCTCCACAGTTAAATCACCTTCATTGTCTTGGTCTCCTCATCTGGTAGAGGCTACTCTCCCATCCAAGGTCCTTGCAAATGCCTCAAGCCTAGCCACCTTCTGCAGTGTCCACTAGACTCACAGAAAACTCAGGTGTCTTTGCTGTGCCGAATGGCTGCCCCAATGCCTGTGACCGCCCAGCTCCACTATCTCTTTCCTATACAGATTCCTGAGATAATCTCATCCACTCCCAAGTAGATTTACTGCTGCCTAACAACTTCCCAGGATTTTCTTATGCCCGACTCTCCTGAGTTCCAAAACCGTATTTCCCACTGCCTGGTAAGTCCTATCAATGTCATATCCCAGAACCAGTTTACTCCCCTCAGCTTACAGCGTTATTCTGGTTAATGGCATCACCTTCCACCATTCACATAATCTAGAAACCAGTGAGTCATCCTGCGTTCCTCACCTCACACAAGCCAGTTCTGTCAGTTCTATGTCCTAATTGTCTTTAAATCCATCCCACTTTTCTCTCTGTCTCCCCTTTGCTCCTGAGTTTCGGCTCTCATTATTTCCTTCCTTTTAGCCCCAGTTACACCTCCTGTAGTCTTGTACACTGTGATCAGAGTGACCTTGTTAAAACACAAATCCCATTGCATCATTTGCCTGCTTTAAACTCATGTGTGTGGACCCCCGTTGTCCTCAGACTAAAGTCCATTCTCCATCATATGGCCCTTGAGGCTCCAGCCTGTCGTAACCTTTTTTCCTTCTACTGCCTCCCTCTATACCGCCCACTGCGAAACCCCAACTTCCTATTCCGTAGCCACACTCAACTACTGAGAGGTGTCCAAACTCAGCACGCCGCTTCATGAGCCTGGCTTTTGCCTGGTCCTTACTTTTGCAGGGAGTGTTCTCATTCTCTTTGTGCCCTGTAGTCTAACTGGAGAACTCCTATTTGTTTTTCAACATCCAGGGGATAAGTCTTCTGCTCTCAGAAACATCCCCAGGCTGCTATCTGCTAGCCATCATTTTTTATATACACTCAAATTATACCAAATATGTCTTTCTTCCCTTGCCCCTTGCAACTGCCCCCAAGTCACTAAAAGCAAAGATTGTGTCTTGCTCATCTTGATAACTATGGTGCCAAGCCTAACGTTCCTGGCCCTTCATGTGTGCTCATTGTTAAATAAATGCGAGTAAATCAATAAAGAAATGTCTCAAAGGCTAATGTATAGAAAATTTGTAAAATTCTAGTTTATATCTTTCTAGCTAAGATGTATTATATTGACCATTTCTTTTACAGTAGTTGGCAGCAGATTTAAATGCTAAAAAGTGACCCTCATTATCACTGTAAATTTTTATTTCTTACCTTATTGTCCCCACTCAGCACTTTATTATTTTCATTATATTGGCTTCTTACCTTTACTCGTGGATAAAGGAGAATGTGGCAATGTCAGAATCACACTAACGAGATGATATGGAAGGAGATCCAAGGTCATGACCACTAGGAGTAAAAATCCTTGGGGTATATTGAGACAGCACAGAAGTTCTTAAAGTGATGTGTTGCTAAAGCCATTTCTCCTGTTCCTGGCCACAAGCCTCAGGAACACAGCCTGCCTGCCTTCTTTACAAGTGATCGTCATTTTCTTGGATCCACTTGGACTTTCTGTAACTGTTCTTCTCGCAGCTCTTGAGCGCTTTGCAAGGTTCTGCCAGGGCTAATGAAAACACAATTTGAGAATCTTCCTTAGGCACATTCACTAAGTAATGTGTCTGTCAGCAGGTGTGGCTCTGTGTCTGTAGTGAGCCCCCTTCTCTGCCGGGACCTTGTCCCAGTGCCTGGAGAGCACCTTCTCAAACCGTAGACCTCACTGGCACTGGGACTGATCTGAGTGCCCCTGTCAGCCTGCCCAGCCTCAGAAAGGAAGCTGTGGAGAGCCGGTTCTCACCAAGAGCTCACCATGTCTACTCTAGACTAGGCCCAGAAACCCTGCATCCAGGCTGCCTGACTCATATGCAGCATGGGTCCCTGGCTTTGGTTTCCACAGTCTCCCAGCTGGTTTCTTAATCTGTAAAATGGGTGGCTTTCGATGAAGACTGTGGCTCCACTGAGATCAACAGAAGGGCATTTCACTATATGGTCCCTTTACTCTTCCAGCTCTGACATCTCATACACAAGTACGAGTGCGCGCGCATGCACACGCACACACACGCGCGCACACACACACACACACACACACACACACACACACACGGATCTAGAATTATTTCTGGTCTGCACTTCCAGGGTACACTATATTGAATGAGCACTTGGTTCTATGCTCCATCCAACATTTGATTAGGTAAACCCCAGACAAAGCACCTAATGCCTTTGACCCTCCATTTCTAAACCTCCAGAATAAGGAAATTAAATGGTTTTCAAGGTCCATGTTGCTTTAAAATTCTGAATAGATCAGAGGGTTAAAGAAATCCTCAGACCCCATTTATGTCACAGAACTGCTGTCCATGGAGACCATAATATAGAAATGTGTCCCTTGACAGAAACAGAGGTATTTATTATAAACATACTGTGTTCCCAGCACACAGAGTCAATTTTGCCAATATGTTAGTGCTCACCTAAGCCTGCACTACATTAGATGTTCTGTATCTCGGAAATATCCTTACATTTATCTTTACCTTTGTAAATAAAACTATGTAATTGAGCTTCATCTGATTGTTTTAGGGTCACCGAGAGACTGCCTCTAATGGCCCTAAGTGGCTCTGGATGCATGAGAAAATGGCTAGACCGTTAGTCTAGTTCCTACCGGCTCTTCTTTCAGGACCACTTATCGTTGTTTTTCTGGAATTTAACAGGAAAATTAGCTTAAAGTAACTAGTTATTTTTAAAAAGAGCTCAAAGCATCTATTTTTCATAGCTGTGCAAAAGCAAAAAAGAAATAATATTCATTTTTCACTTCATGCAAGAACCTCACTTGCATGAGGTTCTCAAAATAGAAAATCATAATCAGGACAACTTTTCACTTCTTCAGATGTTTTATATAGAATATCATTTGGCTTCTAAATCTGTGATTCCTTTTTTGTCTGTGGCTCCAGATTTTCATAATCTACCACTATTAAGCAGAAGTGGTAATTTATGAAAAAATTTGGGTTTGAAAAGCTTATTATTTTCATGAAGATAAAAAGTAAAATAAGAATGTTAACCATTTGAGCCCTATTGCTTAAGGGCACTGAAGGGAGTTGAGCCCCATCTCTCTCCCATTGCAGTGGCTCCTCTTAAATAAAGTCTCCCTTAACATCTACAAAAAAAAAAAAGGCATTGGGTCTTCTTAGCATTATGGATATTCTTTTGAAATTAGTAGTTATGTTAAATAAGGTGAAAACAGCTATGGGAAAACTAGAAATTGTTTCTAGAATTGTAACAATTTAAAAGTAATTATGTTTAGAGAGAGACAAATACAGAAAAAATAATTTACAGAGGGTAAATGCATATGCTATATATAGGTGTATATAAATAAATAAAAGACTATTTGAATCTATTAACATTTTGATAGGACTTTTAAAATTCTCACACTTAAAACAAGTATTTAATTTTTACAAACCGTTTAACACTAATATGGGATTTAGGAATGATTAATCACCAACAAACAACAGTTCTAAGAACAAAGCAAAATTATAGTTAAAAAATTTAAGCCTAGTAATGCATTTTTTGTAATGATAGAACAATTAGTTATAAAATAGGCATTTTTAGGTCTCTTCAATGAATATATTTAAGTCCTTGTATCTTTTAAAATAGTTTTTAGTCCCTTGTTTCTTTTAGTTTAAAATGCTTTAAGTCAAAATACTACATGTAGGCTGAGCGTGGTGGCTCATGCCTATAATCTCAACACTTTGGAAGACCAAGATGGGAGGACTGCCTGAGCCCAGGAGCTCGAGATCAGCCTGGGCAACATGGCAAGACCCTGTCTCTATTTTAAAAAAATAAAAAAAGAATAGGTATCTAAAGTAGCCAAATTCATAAAAACAGAAATTACAGTGGCAGTTACCAAGGGCAGGAGAAGGGAGAAATGGAAAGTTATTTAATGGATAGCGTCGGATCTGCAGATGAAAAAGTTCTGAAGATCTGTTTTACAGTAATAACAATATGCTTAACATTACTGAACTGTACATTTAAAAATGATCAGTATGGTAAACTTTGTTATGTGTTTTTTACTACAATAAAAAATGGTACATGAAAATACAAAGATCAGATAGAATTAACTTTAAAATTTAGCAGTTTCTTGTTTTTTTTTTTTTTTTCTTTTCCATTCTTCCCAATCTGCTACTTAGGGGCAGTCATTTTTCCATTTTTAAGATGTAATTTACATATGATAAAGTTTCTCTTTTTAGTATACAGTAATACTGTTGTTTTTTTTAAATTCAGGGGGTATATGCACAGGCTTGTTACATGGGCATGTTACGTGATGCTGAGTTTTGGAGTTCTAATGATCCTGCTGCCCAAGTGGTGAACATGGTACCTGATTGGTAGCCTTTCAGACCTGGCTCCCCTCCCTCCCCACTTTTGGAGTCTCCAGTGTTTATTTTTTCCATCTTTGAGCTCTACATGTTTTGAAAAGCAGTGGGCATACCACCACTACAATTTAGATATGTGATAGTTCCGTCACCCACAACAATCTCCGCTCCCCTACCCCAAGGTTCTGGGAACTTCTGATCTGGTTTTTTGCCTCTATAGTTTTACCTTCTCTAGAATGTCTCATAAACAGAATCATATGGTTTGCAATCTTCGAGTGTGGCTTCTTTCTCTTACCATAATATACCTGAGATTCATTCAGCTTGTTATGTGTATCAGTGGTTTGTTTCTTTATATTGCTCAGTATTATTCCATTGTCTAGGTGTGCCATGGCTTGCTTATCCATTCTCCAGTTGAGTGACATTTGGTTTGTTTCCAGTTTGGGATGATTAAAAATAAAGTCACTCTAAGCATTCATGTCTAGATTTTTGTGATAACATGTTTTCATTTCTCTTGGATAAATAACTTGAATTGAGATTACTGGTTTTTATGGAAACTCTCTGTGTCTAACTTTATAAATAACTGCACAACTATTCTGCAAAGTGGTTGTACCATTTTGCATTCCCACCATCAATATATGTGTTCCAATTTTTCTGCCTTCTTTTCAGCACTTTGTATTTTCAAGTTTAAAATTTAAATTATATTTTAGCTATTCTGATAGATGTATAGTGGTATATCATTGTGGTTTTAATTTGCATTTCTCCAACAATTAATGGTGTTCAGCATTTTTTCCAGATGCTTATTTGCCATTCACACATCTTTGATAATGTGATAGTTCATGTCTTTTGCCCATTTCTTTTATTAGGTTGTTTGTTTTCTTGTTATTGAGTTTTGAGTTCTTTATATATTCTAGATATAAGTCCTTTATCAGATATGTGACTTACAGTATTTAATTCTGGTCTATAGTTTGTTTTTCTATTCTTGTAACATTATCTTTTTTTTTTTTTTTTTTTTTTTAAAAAGCCTACAGCACCTGGTATTCCCAGGCGGTCTCCCAACCAAGTACTAACTAGGCCCGACCCTGCTTAGTTTCTGAGGTCAGATGAGATCGGGCGTATTCAGGGTGGTATGGCTGTAGACTCTAGTAACGTTATCTTTCAAAAAACAAGTTTTTCATTATGGTGAAAGTCCAGTTTATCCATTTTTTGCTTCTATGGATTGCCCTTTTGGTGTCTTACCTAAGAAATCTTTACTGGCTCAAGGTTTAAAAGATTTCTCTTATGTTGCCTTGTAGAAGTTTTATAGGTTGGGATTTTACATTTAGGTCTATGATCCATTTTAAGTTAATATTTATTTTGGTATAAAGAATGGATCAATTTGCACTTTTTTTTTTTTTGCAGTTCTAATACCATTTGCTGAAGACTCTTTTCTGAATTAAATTGATTTACATATTTGTGGAAAATAAATGTGCTGTGTGTGTGTGTGTGTGTGTGTGTGTGTGTGTGTCTGCCCTCTGTTTTGTTATGTTACTCTGTGTCTGTCCTTTTACTACTACCACACTGTGGTGATGCAAGTAGCTTTACAGAAAATCTTGAGATCAGTTAGTGGGAGTTCTTCAGCTTTGTTCTTTTCCAAAAATTGTTTCAATTTTTCTAGTTTCTTAGCTTTTACATGTAAATTTTAGAATCACTTTGTCATTTTTAATAAAATGTCTTAGAATTTTGATAGGGATTACACAGACTCTATATGGTAGCTGGGAGGTGTGGAATTGATAGCTTAATGGTATTATCTTCTAATCCATACACATGGGGTATCTCACCATTTGTCAGGTTCTCTTTGATTGCTTTCAGCAGTGTTTTACAGTTTTTAGCATAGAGATCTTCTACATATTTTGTTAGATTTATACCTATTTCATTTTTTTTTTTTGTTTTAAAATTTCACTTTTCTTCATTGCTGGTATATAGAAATATATTTGATATTTGTACATTGAACTTCTAGCTTGTGACCTCAAGAAACTTGTATCTTGTTAGTTCTAATAATTTATTTGTAAATTTTTTGGGAAGCACATAGATGAGTCATGTTATCTGTGAATAGAGATTTTTTTTTTCTTTCTAGTCTGGATGACTGTTATTTCTTTTTCTTGCCTATTGCCTGGCTGTTACCTTCAGTATGAGGTTGAATAGGAATGCTGAGAGTGGACTCTAGGAGGAAATCATTTATTCTTTTACTGTTGAGTATGATGTTTGCTTAATGTTTTTTATAGATGCCCCTTATCAGGTTGAGGAAGTTCCCTTCAATTCCTAATTTGTAAAGGTTTTTTTTTTTTTTTGAGACGGAGTTTCACTCTTGTTACCCAGGCTGGAGTGCAATGGCGTGATCTCAGCTCACCGCAACCTCCACCTCCTGGGTTCAGGCAATTCTCCTGCCTCAACCTCCTGAGTAGCTGGGATTACAGGCATGCGCCACCATGCCCAGTTGCCCAGTTAATGTTTTGTATTTTTAGTAGAGACAGGGTTTCACCATGTTGACCAGGATGGTCTCGATCTCTTGACCTCGTGCACCACCCGCCTCGGCCTCCCAAAGTGCTGGGATTACAGGCTTGAGCCACTGCGCCCGGCCCTTTTTTCTTTTTTTAAATCATGAATTGATGGTGATTTTGTCAAATGCTTTTGCTACATATAATGAGATTATCTTTATGTATATTCTTTGTCCTCTGTTGATAGGATAATTACACTGATTTTTAAATGTTTACTTTGTATTCCCAGGATAAATGCCACTCATTCATATTACTTTTTATATATAGTTAGATTTGATTTGCTAAAATTTTGTTAAGAACTTTTGCATCTGTGTTCATTAGAGCTTTTAGTAGGTAGTTTTTCTTTTTTTATAATGTCTTTATCTGGCTTTAGTGTTAAGGGAATGCTGGCCTCATAGAATGAGTTATAAAGTGTTTCTCTCTCTCTCTCTTTAGTTTTCTGGAAGTGTTTGTATAGAATTGATATTATTTCTTTCTTTAAATATTTAGTGGAAATTACCAGTGAAACCATTTGAGCCTGAGGTTTTCTTTATAGGAAGAGCTTAAACTATAAATTCAATTTTGCAAATAGATACAGGACTATTCATGTTATCTACTTCTTCTCATGTGAGTTTTGGTAGTTTGTGTCTTTACAAGAATTTGTCCATTTTTGTTTAGTTAAATTTATTGAAATAAATTTTGATATGCCTTGTTTTTATTTTCATTCAGTTCAAAGTACTTCCTGATTTTCCTTTTGATTACTTATTTGACCTGTGGGTTACTTAGATGTGTGTATTTTTTCCCCAAGTATTTGGAAATTTTTCAGATAATCTCATGTTATTGATTTCTAATTTAATTACATTGTCGTCAGAGAACATAATGATAAAATTGACCTTTTATCATTATGTAATGACCTTTATTCTTAATAATATTCTTTACACTGCAGTCTACTTTGAGTAATATAGCCACTTCGGCTTTCTTTTATTATTAACATGGCATATCTTCCATATTCTTTTTGTGCTTATTTGTATTTTTATATTTAAAGTATATTTCTTATAGGTAGCATATAGTTGTATCTTGCTTTTTTATCCAGTCTGGCAATATCTGCTTTTTAATTGAGGTACTTAATTGAGACCATTTATATTTAATGTGATTATTGTTTCTTTTCTTTCTTTCTTTTTTTTTTTTTTTTGAGACAGAGTCTTGCTTTGTTGCCCAGGCTGGAGTGCAGTGGTATAATCTCAGCTCACTGCAGGCTCTGCCTCCTGGGTTCAAGTGATTCTCCTGCCT